GTTCTACACCTGCAAACCTGTTTTTGCACCACTGTGTGCTTCATGTATAAAAAGTCAAGCCCTGTCTTTGTTAAGCACTTAGCCTTCGGATCCTAATCTGCTGAGCCAGTAGCCACCTTAATAAAATCCTCCTGTTTTGCCCATTGGTCTCTCTGGTCTCCTGAATATTCTGCAACAGTATAAATTCTAGCAAAATGTTCAACTTTCCTGTAGGTATATTTCCAGTTATCAAATGAAAAGGTTGAATTAACTGGTACCTAAGATAACTTTCAGCTTTAAAATTGAAATGTTTTAGTTCACTTTAGCAGATAAGGAGACACATCCTCTTACTTCTCTTTAAGCTCACTTCACCATCCACACTGCCTTAGCTCTGCTAAAGTTGTATCAAGAACCAGGACTCAGCACCTCTAGAAGATGCTCCATAATAGCAGGAAAAAGAGGAGGGGTGAATTCAAAGCCATGATAATCCAACTGAGCTGCCAAATATCTCACCCATAAAGCAATGTCAATTTTCTGCCAGGTTCTGGTTTAGGGATCATGCTATGCATGAAGTAAATAGAGCAACATGGCAGAAACTCAGAAATATGGGAGATCTGAGTCTGGGCAACAAATCAAAGTGAAAAACACAGGGAAACAATGTAAGATTTCTAAGTCAAGTTAAAAACACTAAGATTATCACACCTGTAATTCCAGCACTTTGGGAGGCCAAGACAGGTGGATCACTTGAGGTCAGGAGTTCAACACTAGCCTGGCCAACAAGACAAAACCCCATCTCTACTAAAAATACAAAACTTATCTGGGCATGGTGGCACACACCCATAGTCCCAGCTACTTGGGAGGCTGAGGCATGAGAATTGCTTGAACCCAGGAGTCACAAGTTGCAACTGAGATCGCATCACTGAACTCCAGCCTGGGTGACAGAGTGAGACTTCATCTCCAAAAACAAAGCAAAACAAACACAAAAAGAAAAACGCTAAGATTAGAATCAGGAGGGTAAAAGAAAGCTTTTAGTCCTTAGAGAGGTACCTAACTATAAGTCTGTGGTGTGCAAAGTACAAGATGATATTCCTAGGATGTTCCTTCCTTCAGCAAGTGATCTGTCAAAGATTAATGGGATTTTGCCAATAAGGCACAAGAGTCAACTTGAACAGGCTTTAACTGGCCAGAAGGGAAAATTAAACCATGAAAAAAGGAATTATAACATTGACTCTTAAAATTAAAACCTCGCTGTTCACCACTGGAGATTGCTGTGGCACCAGCAAGCTCATTTCCTTGAAAATTAAAAAATAAAATGAAATATTGAACTATTTATGCAGTCCTTTAAGGACTGTGTTTCAAGGTAATAAAATAGCTGGTTCATCTTTATCAAAGAACTCTATCTAATAATTATAGAGAGAAACATATAATCAGAAAATCACCAGTTTCCAACCCATAATGGGAAAACAAAAGTGAACCTAGGTAAAGATTATCAATAGATACTAAAGTCCTTATGTGAAAGAGTTGAAGAACTTTATGATAGCGTTACCACCCTGATACCACATGAATCTGTAGACTAAGCATCAAAATAAGTGGTTTACAGATTCATCCATCTAACTGGTGTGAGATGGTATCTCAATGTGCTTTTGATTCGCATTTCTCTAATGACTAGTGATGATGAGCATTTTTTCATATGTTTGTTGGCCTCATATATGTCTTCTACGCAGTAGAATATAGAATACATCACTATAAATGTTTTTTGCCTGTGGCTTGCAGGAAATACAGAGGATAAAGTAACAAGTCAAAAAGTATCAGGAAGAAACAACCAACCCAAACCTAAATGTGAGACATTCTACATGGACAATGTCCTAGTTTCTTCACAAATCAATGGCATCTAAAAAAAAGAGAGGGGAAGAAACACTATTTTAGATTAAGAAATATGTAGATGTGTAAAAATCAAAGCAATGTATAGACTTTATTTAGATCTTCATTAAAACCAAAAATTATCATTTGGGGGATAATAGGGGCAATTGAAATAAGGACTGGCTATTAGGTAATCTTAAGGAGTTACTGTTAATTTTAATAAGTATGGTAATAGAAAGGTGGCGATGTTATTTAAAATGTCCTTATCAGGTAGAGAAGTATGCTGAGTTACCTGCAAGCCAAAGGACCTAAAGGGAATGAAAGAGGACAAATGAAACACATTTGGAAAAATGTTGATACTTGTTGAAGCTAAGCAATATAAATACGAGGTTATTTTATACTATGTGCTCTAACTTTTCTGTATGTCTTAAATTTCCCATAATAAAAAGTTTTTTTAAAAAAGAAGTCAAAATAGACAAATGGAATCTAATTAAACTTCAGAGCTTCTGTACAGCAAAAGAAACAATCATTAGAGTGAACCTGCAATCAACAGAGTGGGAAAAAAAATTTGCAATCTACCCATCTGACAAAGGGATAATATCCAGAATCTAAAAAAACTAAAACAGATTTATAAGAAAACAAACAAACAAACCCATTTAAAAGTGGGCGAAAGACATGAACAGACACTTTTCAAAAGAAGACATATATGAGGCCAACAAACATATGAAAAAATGCTCATCATCACTGGTCATTAGAGAAATGCAAATCAAAACCACATTGAGATACCATCTCACGCCAGTTAGAATGGTGATCATCAAAAAATCTGGACACAACAGATGCTTGAGAAGACGTGGAGAAATAGGAACACTTTTTCTCCACATTTACACTGTTGGTGGGAGTGTAAATTAGTTCAACCATTGTGGAAGACAGTGTGGTGATTTCTCAAGGACCTAGAAATAGAAATTCCATTTGACCCAGCAGTCCTATTACTGGGTATATATCCAAAGGATTATGAATCGTTCTATTATAAAGACACATGCCATGTATGTTCACAGCTGCACTGTTTACAATTGCAAATACCTGGAACCAACCCAGATGCCCATTGATGCTAGACTGTACAAGGAAAATGTGGCACATATACACCATGGAATACTGTGCATCCATAAAAAACGATGAGTTCATGTCCTTTGTAGGGACATGGATGAATCTGTAAACCACCATTCTCAACAAACTGACACAAGAACAGAAAATAAAACACCACATGTTCTCACTCTGAGGCGAGTGTTGAACAATGAGAACACATGGACACAGGGAGGGGAGCATCACACATTTGGGTCTGTTGGTGGGGACTAGGGGAGGGACGGCAGGGGGTAGGGAGGTTGGGGAGGGATAGCATGGGAGGGATAGCATGCCAGGTATAGGTGATGGGGGGATGGAGGCAGCAAACCCCATTGCTATGTATGTACCTATGCAACAATCCTGCATGTTCTGCTCATGTACCCCAGAACCTACAGTACAATTATATATATATAGAGAGAGAGAGAGAGAAAGAGAGAGAAGTCAGACCCCAGAGGGGTAGAGGAAGGACAGTCAGGCTGACTCAGAGGCTGGACTGGGATTGGAGTAAGAAAGAGGCAGGTTACTAGAGAGAAGAGCCCTTGAGTCTTGGAGCACATTGACACCTCCATCATGTTACTTGAGCTTAGTTTACCTGCCCATTCCATATATATATGAAATGTGTGTGTGTGTGTGTGTGTGTGTGTGTGTGTGTGTATTGGATATTAGATAATATATATGCACACCTATATGCACACACACATATATGTCTATACATATGTATATATACATACATACACTTCATTATGTAGAAATATACTTTCTATGTATCTCATTTCTAATATATAATACCTATATTATCAAATACATATACCCATTCAGTAAATACTGAACCAAGAGTACTGCCACAGAAGTAGCACTAGAGAAGCAACCAGTATTCTCAAAAACATTATTTGACCCTGCTGGAATAGTCTTTCCGGGAATTCTGAGGGTTCAGGGGTTTCTGGGTTGATGCAGACAGCACTGATATTGGTATAAGCCACTCTAGTGACAGCAGTAGAAACTGACTTGCTCAACTATAAGCTTCATGGTTGTTTGGACTCTGGAGTGTCTACAGGAACAAAACAGTGGCACAAATGGAAAGAAAAGGAAGTTACTATGTTGAATTTTTTAAGTAAAATTATTCTAAAATTTTTAAACCATCTTGTGATATGTAATAAATTAGTAGATCAATATTTAAAATAAGACTTGTACTGATTAAATCAAATTTTCTATTCTATTTAATGAATAGAAATAGTCTTTAAATAAAATTAGCTCTCAAAGTAATTAAATCCAGTCAGGTCACTAGACTTTATTATTTCATATACTTCATTAATGTTATGAAGCAAGATCATCTATCATTCATTATCATCATACAATGCATATTTATTAGATATCCCCATATTTCAAGCATAGGTACATCTTATGAAGATATACCACAACAGGTCTTCTATTAGGTATAGAAACAAATGGTCATAGCTGGTCAGAGCTAAAAGAAAACCAATTGCTTACCAAGAGCAACACCCACCAGTTATTTTAGAAATAAAATTAGTGAGACCAAAAGTGGTGTGGAGACTTTCCACAAAACAGTTCAGAAAGTTCTATCATCCAATGTTATCCTGCTCATCCTGGAGTTCTTGAAACTGCAACCACCATTTAAAACCTCCCATGCAAAGACACATTCTGTATTAGTAATAATTCAATGCCCTAACAGAATACCAGAGTCCAAGCTCAAGGTAAAACTAAGAAAGACCAAGTCTTTTGCAGTTGATCAACATGCTTTGTGTGTTATGTTGCCTCAATGCCTTCATGCTCTGTTACAGGGAATAAGGAAGGGATACATCTATGTGCATTATAAATTAGATGGTTCATCTATAAAAAATAATAAGGCACTGTTATGAGAGAGATGGGATTAAGACAGATGAAGAAATTTGAGTTCAGCCAAACAGAGGACAGAGGCTATAATCAAAGCAGGAGAGGGCTGGGGAGGAAGGACGCCATCCTTTACGATGTGTCATTCCTGAGACAGGATGGTTAATGCGTTGTATGACAATCAGCTTACTTACCCTTTACGGGTTGACTTTGACTCAACATAGAGAAGAATGATCTAGCAGTGTAAGTCAACTCAAGAGATCAAGGCAACATCCTGTGAATCACAGAGTAGCAAAGTGAAAGAAACTTGGACCTCTAAAACCTTCGTAAAGAAGAATTACTGCAGCACCTTAGACTTTTATGACAGCTGAATTACATTCTTAGTAATATGCTACCATATTATGGCAGGGAGGAGACACTATCTTAATTTGGCCCTGGAGCACCATAACCATAGCATAGATAAAATTTAACAAGCTTTCATTTACATTTATACCTTATTTTGATAGCCTACAGATGAATAAATTATTTCTGATGCTTGTACAATAACTGGCATGTTCCAATTTCAATATGCCTAATTGATTACACAGTCACAAGACTCAATTACAAGGTACCAAATAAAATATATTACTGCGAAATCCATCTGATTTCTACATTGTCAAAGAATATGTCTTATGCAGGTATTCATACATTATTCAGAATAGAACACCGGGATTAATATGATGTGCAAAGAATGTATGGGTAAGTCCAGGATTGTCAGTTCGCCCAATACCAGGGGCAAAAGTACACCTTAGATATTTTATGCACCTTAGATTGTGAAAATGATGCCACTTGCAGTTGCATATTCCACCATCTTCACAGTTATATCCTTCTGCTCTGCTTTTTTTTTTTCCACCAAAAGAATTTGGAAACATTGATTAGTTAGTAAAGTAGTGAAAGTGCTTTGATATTTGGCCATACTTTTTCCAAAGAAACTTGGTGGTCTCTGTTAGGTTCATCTATTAATGCTATGTCAATTTGTTTCATATTTTGACCCCTACACACACAAACTCCTTGGCTGAAATTTAACTATGGTCTGTTGATAATTAAAACAACTTAGTTCCTTCATTGGTTGAGACCAATATGACAGCTCCAGTTCTCTGATTTTTGACAATAATTAGGCAAAGAGATTATCTTAGTTCCTTAAACTGTTTGAGTGACATAATAACAAGCAGGCAAAAGGTTTTAATATATAGTGCAGTTAGTGATAATTACCTTTCCAGTCTTATTCAATTATTTAATGTATAAAAAGTTGTTACAAAAATACACAGAGGTGCAAAAAAATATCAAAACCTCAGATTGGTATTAATTCAATGAGTGCTTTGCATAAAATCACTAAATGTAGAAGTAAAAAATAAAAGAAAATTTTACATATTCTCTTACGTAATTACCATGAAAATAAGAGTGGTTCTTTATTTTCCTCAGTTTCCAATACCAGTGACAGATTATCCTTTCAATAGATTAAAATTAATGAAAAATAAATTAGATAGTATCTTGTAATAGTAATACTCAGAATGGAAACAAGCAGCTGAAAAATATGTTTTGACCCTTATGAATGATGATTAAAAATGCCAAATGCGTTTTTCATGGTAGAATAGTGTCTTTTCTTCATTTATTTAGAAATGTTTATTAAAAATGTAATACAAGTCAAACTTTTTTGGAAAATAGTGATCTACAAAGCAAAACATAAAATAGATAAGTACTTCTGTTATTGCAGCTTACATTCTAGTCTTAATGCAGTTGGTAATACATATAATCATTGACTTTTGATTATAAATTTGAAACTTCCTTTAAGTAACAGTAGTTGTGATTTTTCCTTACGGCATGATCTTACTCTCGCCCAGGCTGGAATACAGTTGGCATGATCACACTCGCTGCAGCCTCAACGTCCTGGATTCAAGCAGTCCTCCCATCTCAGCCTCCTGAGTAGCTGAGACCACAGGCATACACCACCAAGCTTAACTAATTTTTTGTAGAGACAGGGTTTCACCATGTTGCCCAGGCTGGTCTCAAACTCCTGAGCTCAAGTGATCTGCCCTTCTCAGCCTCTCAAAGTAGTTGTATTTTATTATGGATAATACTCTGCTTTAAAAAAAGTATGCAATTACATTTTACATAAAAGCATACTAGAAATATGATCAAACTCCAATGAACAAAAGTGAACTCTGTTTTCCAGACTCTATGTCAATTTACAATCTAGGGTGCAACATTTTCTCCTGAGTTGACTTACACTACTAGACCATTCTTCTCTATGTTGAGTCAAAGTCATCTCAGTAACTTAAACCTATTGCCCATGTTCTGTTTTATAGAGAGATACACAAAATAAATCAAATTATTCTTCTACACATGCCCTCATATGTTCATTGCTGCATTATTTACAATAGTAAATATTTGGAATCAACCCAGGTGTCCATTAATGGTAGACTGGATAAAAAAATGTGTTCCATATACACATTGAATATTATGCAGCCATAAAAATAATGAAATCATATTCTTTGCTGCAACATGGATGGAGCTAGATCAAATTAATGCAGGAACAGAAAACCAAATGCCACATTTTTTCACTCTAAGTGGGAGCTAACATTAAGCACACATGGACATAAATATGAAACAATAAACACAGTGGACTACTATATGGTAGAGGTAGGGGTGTGGGTTTTAAAACTACTTATCAGGTGCTATGCCCACTACCTGGGTAATGGGATCCATACTCCAAACCTGAGCATTGTGACGTATTCCTATGTCACAAACCTACTTGTGAATCCCCCCATAACTAAAATAAATGTTGAAACTTTAAAAATTATTCTAAATGGTTTTTAATTATTTTAACACCAGAATCATGCTCCCCATTACTCAATATAAAAAGAAAACTTCTTTAAAAATAAAAATTACGATTTGGCTCTTACTTAAGTTATTTTCAATGGGGAAGCACCATCTGTTGTTGCAAAATGTCCCTGCAGCCTCCTAAATGAGTGTTAATACCCGAGCAGGCAGCATTTTCCCACACTTTCAGTTTGCCAGTAGGATTACAATTGTGATAATAATAATTAGTACTACTCAAAATGGAAACAGGCAGCTGAAAAGTATGGTTTGACCCATATAAGTATTTTTTCTAATCCATATTATATTAGATTAAAAATGTCAAATGTGTCTTTATCAATAGAATATTGTCTTTTACTCCTTCACTCAGAATGAATAAATTCACTATAAAGAGATGTGTGTTCTCTGATTATAATTTAATTATTATAACCCTTCTAAGAAGGAAAGATTAGTATCCCCATGTCTTTATGAGACATCAACTGTTAAAAAAACACTCAGTGACTCCCAAGCTAAGTTTAGTGTGTATCTGAGGTTGCCTCACACATCCACCGATCATTTAATTGAGGTCGTCCTATAATTATTGTATACCTTTGTTAAGAATAATAGGAGAAGAAAAAGTGTACACTGTAAACTGGCAAATTTTATGATATGTGAATTATATCTCAATAAAGCTGACATTTGAAAAGTATAGCAGGGGAGATGGGAAAAGTAAATTAGAAGTGAAAGATATTTAGAAGTGAATTCTTCAAAGGGACCAAACAAAAGCATTGAAAATGAAAAACAAAAATATTGATGACTTATCTTCAAATGCATCAGGAAGGCCTACATGTTACTATTACAAGACAGGACACCAAAACAGAGGTAGCGTTGAGGGCTGGAAATGGAACATCCATGGGACAATAGATGCAGGAGTCCAAGCTTTAAGTAGTAGCAATGGCTTAGCAAATCTAATTGAAAATGTCAGGCTTCCTAGCCATGCAAATGCTCCAAACTCTAACCCAGATTTAAACAGATGATCAGCACTAAGGCATCCCCATTGGAGAAGCCCATCCTCTCACTGGGTACAAGAATCTCTCACAGGGTGTAAGACCCTGCAGGTCTTACAGTCTTAGTCAAGGCCTGCAGCAGTCAGCAGGTCTTTAGCCTTTGGAGGTAAAGTTCATGGAAAAGACCCAATCTCCAGGGGTGAGGCCTGAAAAGAACAAAGTAAGGCTATCAGCACTATTGGGAAATGAGTGGGAATCAACCAGATATTCATCAGCAATGCAAAAGGGATCCTCTAATTATCAGAGTCTACAAACTAGCTCTCAGTAAAGGGCTTATAAGCTGCAGGGCCATGATGGAGTTGTCCAATCTGAGGTCCTGTGGGAGCTGGGAACAGCTGTAACCCTACAACCACAGTGGGACTGCAGGAATCAGCATTGGGACATTCAGCCCCTACTCAGGGCCACAGCAAGGAAAGTTTTGAGCAGAATGTCAGGGCACGACTGTGCTGTCACAGTGGAGGTGAGCATATGGAATGTGCTGCCTAATCTGAGTTGAAGGTGGCAGAAGACTAGTATGAAGCACCCCCACCCAACAGCAGAAGATAAGGGGCAGGAGCACTAATATGATTGTTTTCACTGACCCAGTTCTGTCTGGGACTACGGTAGACACTGGGGCAAGATAGAGGTTACAGGTGATGGGGTTTGGTGGATTCAGCTATGAGGAGCTGAGAGAGGCTCAGGCAGGAGCTGGAAATAAACATACTTGGAGTGATGATTTTCAACGTGTAAGAAAGCAAAGAAAATAATCTCAGAGGAAAGCAGCTGGTCACAGCATGGAGAAGACAATCTGATCTTAAAGTTTATGATGCACACAGGTTGGAAAAGAGGAGGAAGAAGGGCTTTGGAGAAGATGAGAGCAGTTAAGACAAAGCAGAGGAGCTCTAAGATTGAAGGCAATTATTAAGATAGGGCCAGGTATACAGAGAGGCCTTTGTGAAAATGTAGATAAATGAGATCAATGTACAAAGTGAGAAAGCAGATTAAGAGAACTTTGATTCTAAATCTGGAAGAGATAAGATGTAATGTCAAGAAAACAGCATGGTCATTGTATGTGAATAAAATATTGAGGATTGGCATTCCATTCTCAGTAAGGGACAAATGACTGTGTATCCCTGGATCATCTGAGCAATAAGAGCAATATTCATGGTATTGATCACTCATAATGTATTAGGCACTATCTTGAGTCTTTTCACCCAACCCACCCTCCCTTCCTACCAAATCCATTGCAAAACTCTCCCAACTGTCCTCCCTATTCCCATTTCTATAATCCCCCAATCCCTTTCCACACAGCATCCCACTGTTTATCTAAAATGAAAGCAGATATGTCACTGTCCTGCTCAGAACACCTCAATGATACTTCCTCTTCAGAGGGGAAATCACTAAAACTTAGAATGACCTGTAAGACCTTAAGTGGAGGTAACCCCTGCTCCCCTCTCAAGCTTCATTGTTCCCTTATTTATATACTTACTATGTCCCAACCATGGTGTCTTAAAAAAATAAAGAAGTATTTCAAATATACAAACAGAAAGAATTTTACATTGAATGAATATACATGTTTCTAAAGTATATATCTAAGAATGGTTTTCCTAGATCAAAGTGTATGTGCATCTTCAATTGCCATGCTTTGCCAAATTGATCACTAAAACTACCTGTGTACACTCTCACAGAGATGGTCTCAGTTTTACACCTACTTGCTAAAAATTAGGTATTGTCAGATTTTTAATTACATTGGTTTGTTATATGAATTGCTATCCCTTGGTCACTATAATTTGTATCTTATTTCTTCATCAATTTATTAATTAAATAAATATTTATTGGATGCCTATATCTTCCAGGTCCTGACCGGAATTTTGAGCAACAAATAAAATTGCAAAGATTCCTGTCCTCATGGGACTTCTATTCTAAATTCTGCATGCAAGAGGAGGGGGTTATGGTAAAGATTACAGGTATTTATTTGGGATCCAAAGAACTATAAACTGACCCTCACAAGGAGGAACACTCAAGTTTGAGTCATTTCCACACCTCGTTGAATTAAGGTGATCCACCACCAACTCAGCTGCCTGCCAGAAGCAGATGTAGATGATTTCTGGAGAAAGAGAATCCCTCTAAGATTCTCAAATTATTTCTATAAATTTTTCATGAAGAGAATATTGGACAAAAACTATTACACATGTAAAAAGATAATATTTATGTGAAAAATAAGAGAAAGGAAATATACAACAAAACAGAAACAAGATTAAAGTATAGAATTTCCAGATATGAATTTCAAAATCTTTATGATTAACATGTTCAGGAAATTAAAAACAAGAAGGTGAATTTGGCAGAAACATGAAACTATTTAAAATATTTAAATTAAAACTGAAAATAAAATAATTAATATTAGGAATTCAATGGATGGCTTTGCAAACCAAAAATAAAATTTTAAGCTGCCCAAATATCTAAATGGACCCCTCTTCCTGGCAAAGGCATCCCAAAGTTAATCTGAAAAACTTCTTCAGGCCATGATGGGAAAGGGAAGAGCTAGACATGCTTCATTGTAACCTCTTCCCTTTGGGAATGACTGATAGAAGAGATTCTTTAAGTCTTATAAGAAACATTTACAATTTATTCTCTCTGAAGCCTGCTACCTGGAGGTTTTATCTACATGATAAACTCTTGGTCTCCACAATCTCTTATCATAACCCAGGCATTCCTTGGTATTCCTTTTTATTTATTTATTTTTTTTTTCTGACAATGTCTCATTCTGTTGCCCAGGCTGGAGTGCAATGTGGTGGGATCTTGGCTCACTGCGACCTCTGCCTCCCAAGTTCAAGTGATTCTCCTGCCTCAGCCTCCTGAGTAGTTGGAATTTACAGGCATCAGACCTTATTATTCATAATAATTATTTCAATCAATTATGAATCAGAAAATCCTTAAATCTTCCTATGATCTGGAAGCCCCTGCTTTGAGTCGTCTGGCCATTTGGACCAAACCAATATACATCTTACATGTATTGATGGATGTTTCATATCTCTCTAAAATGTTTAAAACCAAGCTGTACCCTAACCACCTTGGTACATGTCATCAGAACCTCCTGAAGCTGTGTCACGAGCTCATCCTTAATCTTGGCAAAATAAACTTTCTAAACTGATTGAGACCTGTCTCAGATACTTTTAGTTTACAAATTGGCAACCACAAAGGGATTCTGAGTAAAGGTGCCCCTGACCTTTAACAAATCTCGAGGGGAGCACTACACACTGGGGTCCATTATGGGGAATAGGGAAGGGACAGTGGAGGGTAGGGAGTTGGGGAGAGATAGCATGGGGAGAAATGCCAGATATAGGTGAAGGGGAGGAAGGCAGCATATCATACTGCCACATGTGTACCTATGCAACTATCTTGCATGTTCTTCACATGTACCCCAAAACCTAAAATGCAATTTTAAAAAAATCTCCTGTTAGAGCATGGCAATAGCTTGAGCTATCTTTATTGCTCAAACCAATAGGACAATTTTCTGAAGCCTGGGAGCTCCCTTCTCCATAGACTCCCCAATCCCAAAATCTGGTTGAGATTTAGGGTTTATTTAGCTCTACATCGCCTTTTCTAGAGTTTTACTTACTTATGACAAAGAAGGAGCTTTTTCCTGCTTCCATGGCAATGGAGAGCAGGCAACTGCTTTCTGGAGTTTCAGCTCACTTCCAACAGGGAAGGTAAATTTGAGGGGTTCCCCCCACCCGCTTCTAAGATGGTAGAGAACAGTCTTGAACTTGGGCCCTATTCCTAGGTAAGTAGTTGAATTGGGGTTTTTGTCTCAAAAATTCTCCTAAATAACTAAAAGTTAAAATTGACAACTAGCTAGTTTTAATTTCTCCTTACTGTTAGAGCACTCAGTAATCTCTGTTTGCTTGTTTGGGGTGTGTGTGTGTGTGTGTGTGTGTGTGTGTATTTTGTTGTTTTTGTTTTTTGGTTTTATTTTGTTTTGTTTTTGCTATTCTGATCTTCCTTTCAGTTTGACCAACACTATCCAATGTGGTCAAATCTGATTAGGAATTCCAAATTATGGAGAACAAGGCCTTTGAATTGGCTAAAATTCCTTGCAAATGAAAAATAAAAACATTCTATTGGCTTCTCTGTTCATTTCCTTTCTTCAAAAAAAAATGCTCTTTCATTTACTTTTCTTTTACCCTATTCCTCCTTCACTCTTGGCCATCTTCAGTATCAAGTGAAAAAAAAATTCTAGAGAAGGCTTCTAATGAATAAGATTCCTTAAAGAACAAAGAATAAATTTTTCTCAGCCTTTGGGTGTGTTCTGTTTTCTTTGCGGAGTTTCAAGAGTCATGGGCAGATTCTTCTTAGGTCCACAGCCCCGCTTTCTTATATTGCATTAACTGACCTCTTTGGCTTTGAGGGGGGTATCAGAGACAATCTTGTACTGTGAGAAGATTTGACCTTGGTGTGTGTGAAGGAGGACAAGAGCTACAACATTAGGGGTGGCTGAGGACAGTTCATACAAAGTGGTCTTAGCTGTTTTTTTTTCCCTATTAAGAAGTTGTTAAAATCCTAAGTCTGGTTTGGTGGTATAGTCTAAAGGGTCTTCTCCATTGCCTTTCTCTCAAAATTATCATGATTGGCATGTCTGTACATTTGTTTAACGAACTGACCTGTCATTCTTGTAGATAAATGAGAGACTGAGTTCCTCAGCTCTGAAGAAAAAGGGCCTTTTGCTCTTCCCACCCAAAACGTGCCCCTGGGTGACCAAGTGGGATTGTCTAGGGGGTTGACCTCCCCACAATGTGCTGTGGCCCTACAGGGAACCCCCAACAAAATTAGTTTTAAAAGGCTTTTCCAGGAAACACATATAAGAGCTGGTCACTCTGTACTTTGAACACTCTTAAAGGTGCTAGTCCTTTATAGAGAGAAAGAGGGCAGAAATGACTCAGTGGTGACACACTGTGGAGTCCTACTGACAATGAGCGCACTTCTCTCCACTATACTAAACCCTAGACTACAGCTCAGTTTCTCCTTTTAAGAAAAAAATGTGGGAAACAAGCCATCTCAGAATGAGAAAAGACAAGGAGAAGGACCCCTTCTGGGCATCTCATTGATTTTATGGTGCCTCTACTTGCAAGTGTAGGTGTAAAACAGAAAAGGTCTAGGGTATGCCAGGTTCTCTAGTACTATGGATAGTTGCATGTTACAGTCTTTTATGTGCACATTTTAAACTAATGGACAAATTACATCAAGGAAAAATTCAGAGCCCAGAGGTTGACCTGCAACTATAGAGTTCCTAAGTTGTCTGTTTCTCTATTTTCTTTTCTGTCTGCTTTAAATCTGCTGTTACTTTTCTACTGAGATAAAACCCACTATTTGGATGCAACTTTTTACTTTTATTTTTTATTGTTTTTGTAAACCGTTGAATTTGTATTATTATCCCAGGCCTAGAGTGCTAAAGTAAAAGCTATAGGATCTCAGTTTGTATGAGCACATATGTGTGTACATTCGTGTATTTTGTTATGTGATTAGCCACAACATGCCAAAACGGCTTAAAGAATACTTATAAAGAATACTTATAAAACTAAAAAATAAGCCCAAATGCTTTTCAAGTTCATGTGACTGAAGTAAAATATTTAATAAATAGCCTGGTTTTAAAATATTGGTAAAGTAGTACTAGAAATGTCTTAAGAACTGTCAGTATTTTTGTTTTTATCTGATCAAGTGGTTTTCTACTTATTTTTGCCAAATACTGTAAGTTGTCAAATTTTGCCACAAGGGCTATAAAACTATAAACCCAGCCCAAAACAGAATGATCTTTGTGAAATTTTTGATAAATAATATATTTAATATTGTTTGTTTAATTAAAACATCTAAATCCTGAGTTATTGGTAAAATGCCCATATATTTAACCTTAATGTTCTTATTTAGGTAAACACCTAAAATTCACAGGCTATTAAAACAGTTAGCAAGGAAAAATCTTTAAATAATGACTATGACAGTTTTCATCAATAATGTGGATTAACTATTTTAAAAAATTAATAAATTAATCTGATAAATGTAATGAAATAAATGCTTATAAGTAAACTTGCCATACAATTTGAAATCTAAAGCTATATTAAATTAAATAACAGATATTTACTTAATGACTGGTCATTTTTCATAAGGTCATTAAGAAACCTTATGAAAAACATTTTTCTAAAAAAGA